ATTGATTTTTTCATTCCTTTTGCTGCCTATATTCGACTAGCGAGCATATTTTAGTTTGTGTTCAGAGCTCATATGGCACAAAGCTTGTACACATGTGTAAATATTACGCACAAGAATAAAAAGAAGTCTCTAACTTGTGGATAAATATTTTGTCCCTTAAAAATTTTCCATTTTTAATTTCTTATGGAATTGCCTACATCCGACCCCCTAAAGGTATCAAGCCTAAGGGTTGCCTTAATCCGAGTTCAAAAAATCACTCCCACTCAGGGATTACCATCCAAAGACAAACTCGGACGACCCGGGCTATCAGAGACTAGGGGCACAAGACCTATTAGGCAGCGCCTGAACCTTAAAGGCTACGACCATCCCTATTCGGGGACTGTTATCTTAGGTAAACCCAGATAACTCAGGGTAACAAACCCACTAGGAAACACCTGAAGTAAAAAGGATACGTCCATATTAAAATGACGCAGAGATGTCCGAGACCAGTAACAAAAACAAGCCCTTTGAAACTTCTTAACCGGTTCTAAAAGCTACCCTCGGCAAACTATAATTTTAAAAATTACAAGTACTTTGGGGAAAAGTTCTCGGTCATACCAAACCCTTATAATGCCTTAAATAAAATAATGTCGAAGGCAAGTCCTGTTCAAACCCCCGAACATGACCTAACTATTTCATTCTAAGGCATTTCGATCTTTGCAAATTTAAATAATAAAGCAAAGGAAAACAAAACTCAGAGATTGTCGAAGGGAAAAAGAAGCCTTGTGTTATATATACATATAGTCTTTACAAAGACCAAATGGCCTTGATAAAAGATACAGAAGTACACGAGTACAAAAATACAAAAAACAAAATAAAATGTACAAGGCACTTAAACGGCCTGGTCTTCATTGGGGGCCGCCTCATCTTCGGGACCATCGGGGTCCTCTCCACCTCCGGACCCGCCGGAACCCTCGAAATCTTCCTCTTATTCATCCTCGGGGTAATCCAAATTTTTGGCCTCGACCTCGAACCTCTTAGCGATCTCGATGTCAGCCGACAAATCAAAACCCCAAGCATGAACCTCTTTGAGGGCCTACCTTCGGTACTGCTACTTCTCATACTCGACAATGTCTTTCAAACGGTCCTGGGCTGTCTTGGTATTGGCTCTATACTGAGCTACCATCTTGTTGGCATCGGCCTTGGTTATTTCAGCCACCGACTTGGCCGCTTTAAGCTCCCTGGCAAGGGTTTCTCGATCGGCAACAACCAAGCCCAATTGATATTAGAGTTCTTCGGCTTTCCAGGACTGTGCCTCAGCCTTCTCCCTCATCATTCAAAGTTGAGCCTCCAAGAGCCCAATCACACCCGGGCAATTTCCTTTTACGAGGCCAAATGATCCATTTTGCCTTCCCACTCCTCAGCCTCGACCTTGATAACGTCCATCTTAGCCCGAAGTTGGTCGATCCGATCGATCTTCTATTGGACCTGCGGGTTTTGACTGTTAGTCACTGAGTCTAGCTCATCGTCGCTAACCTTAAAGACTTTTACCTATTCCACCAGGTCGGCATGATCTTTCTTCGCCGTATCCAACTCGGCCCGAAGACTCTTAGCCTCTTCCTCGCATTGCTCACTGAGAAGTTTATACATGTCTCTCTTCTCAGTAAGCTCTTTGGATTCGGCCTCGAGGAGGCTCAACTCTTCTAGGTATCAGAGGAAGGTCTCGTGGTGAAGCACCGACGCCTACGAATATATGGAGAAATATTAAAAATCACTAAGTAACCAAAGCTGGAAAATGAAAAGGTTAGTAACACCTTACCCGATTCAGCGCCTGTTGTGCTTCATTGAACAATCATGGGGAATCCACCTCGTTCATTTTAGCCTGGTCCTCCTCAGTCACCAGGCACCAGAGGTAACTAGCTACCATAATGGGTGCGGAAAGGACCCGAGCGTCCTCCGGAATGGAGATAATAATCGATCGCTTACTACTGGGATCAGCACTATTGGCCAGTCTCTGGCTCGAACTAGACCCACCTACCCCCGAGGGCGAATCTTTTCCTTGGTACTTCTAAGTCACCTAATCCGGTGACATCCTTTGTGGCGGCATAGTCCACGCCATCAAAAAATCTTTGGAGGGAATTGTCCACTCCATGGACCCCCTCATTCGATCGCTCCTTTGTTGTTTGAGCTTCAACGAACATCGAGTCCGTGTACGAAGGCGATACCGTTATGTCGATAACATCGGGTGGGACAGAGTCGGCGTTTTGAGGGTCCTCGACCCCCACTGTTGCATCCACCTTTTGTATTTGTGAGGGATTGGCCTCTATTGTTCTCTCTTTGGATGGCACCTGTTCCTCGGGGACCGATGGCTCTCAAGCCACTAAAATTTCATCCTCCTCGGACTCGTCCCTGATCCGGTAGAGTAAGTTCGAGTCAAGCACTCAAGAGCTGGAGGTTTCCTTTGGCTTGCGGACTAGCCTCCTCCTCGATTTCTTTTTCTCCGAGCTTGGGGAACTCGGAGCCCTCCTCCTTTTCTTTTCTCCGACCAGCCCCAGAGCAGAAGACTCAATGGGCAAGTCCTCGTCGCAAGCGGAGGCCTAAGCTTGACATCCTTAGGCAAACCTGAGATAGAAAGTAAAGGGAATTAGGACTTGATAATAAAAGAAGAGGCCTAACACAACCCTTCAAGAAAAAAAAGGGATCTTACCATGGGAACGGGCCTCCCAACGGCCCATTGAGAGTATGCGCCATGAGCGCAGAGTAGGGCATATGAGAAACGATACCCTCGATCCACTTCTCAAGTCGAGGAATGGCATTTGGAACCCGAGCAACAGCTGCACCATCACGAATACTAATAAGAAAAAGGGAAGTAAATATAAAAATCAACATTCGAAGGAAAAGTTCCACTTAAGTTTTGTATACCACTTCTCCTGGAATGTCATACAGTCTACCAGAATTAATTTCGAAGTCCTCATCTCGACAAAACGCCCTTGCCAGCCTCGATCCCGGTCCTCATCGATACTAGAGAACGAGGCTTTGCTGGCCCGATGCACAAGCTTTATCAACCCTCCTCGGAATAGTCAGCGACTGTACAAGTGAAGCAGGTGATCCACGGTGAATCAACAGCCGTTGATTTTCTCACGAAAAATCAGAGGAGGATCACGATCCTCCACATAAAAGGATGGATCTACACACCTCGTACCTCTTCCATAAGTCTATAATGACTGGGTCCACCGGTCCCAATGTGAAAGGATAAGTATAAACACTCAAGTATCCCTCGACATGGGTGGTAATGGCCTCCTCGGGGTTAGGGGCCACTATCATTTTTTCGGCCCAGTGCAATTTATTCGGACCGAAAGGAAGACCTCTTCAGTATGCGAACATATTTACCTCGAGAAGTCTTCGCATCGGCCCAGTATGGAAGAGGGTTTTTCAACCTTAAAATCAGTATTTACCGAGCATCCTCCGGGGATGAACATTTTCAAAGGGGGTTCTTGTACTGGTTCATCGACGACAACATGTGAAACAGTTTTTTCGGCCTTAGTATCCAGTCGCGAAGCAGAAGGTTTTTCTTTTTGCGGAACGGCTTTTGAGGTCTTTGCCATTTCTTTGAAAAATGGACGGGAAATAGAGGAAGAGAGGAAGTCGAAGGCTTGAGATGGAGATGTATGAAAGTTCTTGCAAAAGATCCAAAATAAACCAGTGTATAATTGCTAGAGAGTATTGAAATTTCAAAGATATGAGGGTAGAAGGTTTGTATGTAAAGTTAAAATGAACAAATGAGGGGGTATTTATAGTTTTTCGACGACGGTTTGCATCCAGGAGTGGCCGACCGGCAACTGACGAGCATTTAATGCCATTAAGACTTGACTGGCGAGATGTTTCGTTCATTTTGTTGTTTGACGTGGGGTATCGAAGTGAGAATTGAAAGCTCATGTCGTTTCTCGTCGTCTACTCTCCGAAAAATGAGGGGACTATCTGTATACGGGTAAAACATGTCTCGTAGTACATCCCGGTCTCCGACATGATAAGCCAAGCTCGAGATATGGTAACAGGAGTCCTCGACCGAGGTAGAGATCTCATCAATTTTGAGTCTGGACCATAACACCCGCCCTCGAGGATATCAGAGCCGTGATTCAAGATCGGTCCTGGCCTTGTTCAACTTCGAAGAAACGTTGTTAGGTAGACAAGCTCGACCAATAGAAGGCCGTGATATCCGTGACCGACCGAATATCACGGCGGAGATCTCATCATATATCGACGTGAGATTGACAATCAGTTAATTAGGGAATTTTTACCTTTTATAGAGTTGTACCTAATATAGGACTCTCGTACTATATAAAATGGGTCTCATTACTCGTAAAAGACATTATAACGCGCATTCCAAAGCAATATATTACTCCCTCCGTTTCAAATTAGATGAGATACTTTCCTTTTTAGTTTGTTCCAAAATAAATGACACATTTCTAAATATGGAAATAATTCAACTTTAAACTCTTCATTTTACCCTTGATGAGAAACTTTTATAACCATACAAATGTCATGGCCCCACAAAGCTTTTACCCCTTAAGCTATTAAGAACACAAATTTCAAAAGTCTTCTTTTTATCCTTAAACTCTGTGCCGAGTCAAACTATCTCATCTAAATTGAAACGGAAGGAGTATTATTTCTCTCTTTAAGCTCTTATTCTATTTTATCTTTATATTGATCGAAGGGTATCCGGTTCGAGGGTGGCTGACCTTCCAAAACTGAAATTATCCCATTTGTGTGGTTTGAATTTACTTTATCATTGTTTATTTCAATTACAATTCAATTTATGGCTTTTGTGTCAAGTTAATCCACGTATCCTTAAAACGAGTTACGAATTCAATTGTTATCTAATTTTGAGGGTAAACAATTAGAACCATACGTTTAATTAATATTGCACTGTTCTATACTAAAAGTCTAACATCGTATTAGTAAGGCAGTAGTATTCCATCCGTATAATGTTTTTTCCCCTAATATTACAAATCAAACGACAAATCATGTTCCTTTGTGGAGCGGAGCTAAATCTTCCTCCCTTTAAATAATTTGCAATTAGAACACTCTTAGAAATGATTTCCCACCAAATTGAGGCACTTTTCCAACGGTCTAAAACGACTCTTCATCTTCTCCAACTTCATTCTCTAATAATCAAAATAGCTCTTGATCACGACGAATATCGTCTTTCCCAGTTCATATCCTTCTCATCTTCAATATCTCTCCAATTCTGTCGCACAATCTTCGATAGTTCTCCAATTACTCCACCAATCTTCGCTTGGAACACACTGATGAGAGAATATTCAAAAAGCTCCACGAAAATTGAGTCCGTGAAGCTCTTTAATCAGCTTCAAAGAACGGAATTAAAGCCAGATAAATTCACATTACCTATTGTGCTAAAATCTTGTGGGCATTGTTTGATGATTGGAACTGGTGGGTCGTTGCATTCAATGGCTTTCAAGTCCGGTTTCAGTTCGGACATACATGTGAGCAATACCCTAATGAGAATGTATGCAGTATTTGGTGCGATCGGGTATGCTCGGCGACTGTTTGATGAAATGCTTGAGAGGGATATAGTTTCTTGGAGTTCTATGATAGCCGCTTATGTTCATTGGTATGCGATATTTTTTTTCAGTAAGATCTGTTATTGCCTCATTCTTGGTAGACCATCTTAAGAAGATTGAAACCTTTTTGTATTAGGAAATTCTTAATCTTAATAATTTTTAGTTTGTCCTGAGGCTACTTAGGAGGTGGGGTCAAATATGCAGAGCAGATATGCACAACTTTTTGACATTTCAGGTACATTTGTAAACTTGTTGGAGGAAGATTGTTTCTTTAAGAGGTGGAGAATGTCACGACCCAACCGTTTATTTTGAGTTCGAGAACCTCATTTCCCTATTTGAGACTTTCCGTCGGTTCATCTGATATTTTATGACTTGTGCGTATAGGAGGTCCTTATCCTGAGAGGTTCGAGAATAATATGAAATGCATAGTTCCTAACTAGAGGTTTTACGTTAAGGGATTTTATGAAAGTCAACATTTTAGGTAAGATATGGGTGGCACAACCTAGTAGCTTGGGTCCACAACCCTATATATGTGTTAAGAAATTCATTAAATATATAAAAAAATCAAATTCAGAATCCTACTAGCAGTTGAGGTTGCTGTACTAGATTTCAAAACCCATAAAGTTCAAATCCTTGATCCGCCTCTAATGTTCACATAGGATTGTTATGGCGTGTTGAACACAACTAGATGTATAGGATATGGGCTTGTGATATATTTAGCTTATTTGTGAAAAGTCTTATTTCTTTCTAATAAACTCTGTTATACTCAAACATTATCAAATAAAATGAAGCTTAGAGTGTATGTGTATATTTTATTCTTAGATTTCAGTTTGTTCTTATTTCTCTTACTCAAATATTTCTTCTACATACTGAGGTAATTTTTTTTTCTTCATATTGCTTTGGATCGGGCTTTTTATTGTGTTATGTATTTATTTGTTTTCAGATTTTTCTTCTTCCTCCTCCTAAATATATTTCATATATCTATATATTACTCCGGAATCGGGCTTCTAGTTATGTTTTGTAATGTGGGTGAACACAGAACAAAAATAAAAGCTTTGGGTAAATTTTTGAGTGCCTCAAGTTTACTACTTCCAGAAAACAAGTTTAAGTATCATCTTATGAGAAACTTCTAAGGGCTAAACTTGTTTTGCTAGGTCTGACTGCTGACACATAATAGGTGTCAGTTTCCATGAATAATGTAATTTTGTTTCCATCATTCAGAAATTTGGCGCCCAAAGTATTTATGGTTCTCTTAAACAAATGTGGACCAATTCTACTTTTAATGAAGTAATAGAAGTTGAAATAGTGGTTTTTTTTGTCCAAATCATTTAGTGGACCAATTTAATGGTTTTCTGTATCCGACCCCTTTCTTTTGGCACGTGAATGAATATTTGCTACTTTTCCATCTCCTTGATGTTGGATATCTGATAATATGACTGTCTTGCTGCTTTCTTCTCCTGTTTAACTTTTAAACAGAGGTATTTTGCTTTATGTCCTGCTTTTCAAAATCATAATAATCAGCTTTTTCCTGGATGTCTCAGTAACCTGCCTTCAGATGCTCTGCTCCTGTTTCAAAGCATGAAGCTAGCAAATGAACAGCCAAATTCCATCACTTTGGTCAGCTTGCTTGGAGCATGTACTCATGTCCTGAATATCAGATTAGGTAGATGTATTCACTCACACATTGTCACCAGTGGTATTGAACTACATGTTGAACTGGAAACAGCCCTCCTGGGAATGTATGCAAAATGCGGGCATATAGAGCAGGCTTTCCACATCTTCAATTCAATGGCTGATAAAAATCTGCAGACCTGGACCATCATGATTTCTGGCCTTGCCGATAATGGTCATGGAGAAGAAGCTGTATCCTTGTTTACCAGCATGGAAGAAGCTGGCTTTAGACCGGACAGCTTGTCATTTTCTGTGATTCTATGTGCTTGTAGTCATAAAGGACTTGTTGATGTGGGTCGTAGATATTTTCATAAAATGGTAAGTATTTATAACATCAGGCCAACTATGGAACACTATGGATGCATGGTGGACATGTTTGGACGTGCTGGAGAATTAGAAGAAGCTTATGATCTTATAAAGAGCATGCCTATAGAGCCCAATTCTGTGATACTGAGGAGTTTCATTAGTGCTTGTAAGCATCATGGTATTCCTTGTGCAAACGAAAATATAAGAGATATTCTGCTCAAAGTAGAGCCTGAACTCGGATCAAACTATGTACTTGCTTCCAGTTTGTCTTTTCTTTTTAATTGCAATGATGCCAACAGCCTAAGATCGGCGATGAAAGAGAAAGGAGTAAAGAAACTTCCTGGTAGTAGTTGGGTGCAGCCGCTTGGTGGTTCTTCAGAGGACAGCATTTGAAGGATCTGGCGACGGTGTTCTGGTTTATGCCAATAAAAGAGGAGTGATTCAGAACCGAGTCACTGCTACATTCGAGTAAAAAGAATGAGCTACGGTGGAGGAAAATGAGTTCTTTCTTTTTTGATGATGCCATCAGGCTGATTTACAACTTTAGAGGAGCTAGTGCTTTGACCATTGGGAAGAGAGTTATGCTGGTATTCTGGTAATATAACATTTTTGCATAATTGAAAACCACTGAAAAGGATGTCATGGGAGATAATTTTTGAGAGGAACTCCACATAATTGGTAAAGTTGAAAGAGGACAAGTCGTGATCTGGACTAATTATGAAATGGGAGTCCTGGAAGGAAAGAGGCTGTTTATGCCAGTTCAGAGACACAAGTTGTCGTCTTCCTCGAATTACATAATGGCAATCAACTATACCTCAATCCCAACCTAGTTGTGATTGGTTGTGAGTCTCCTATATTCATTCTATCCTATTCGAGCCCAAGCTTTTCGATACTGGTAAATAATTTCTTGCCTCTTTAAACTACTGTCTTCTCAAAAAGGTGGTGAAGATGCTATATTAGAATGCTATTCAGAAATGAGTTTAACCTAAATGACACCTTTGCATGGGATGAAACTCTGGTTAAAAACTTTGAGGTGTTGCTGTGTCTTGGGCTGACAACACGGGAAACAAATTGAAAAAGCTTTTTGAGTGTCAAGAGTCATGCAAGCTTAAACTTTCTAATGTATGTCATCACTTTGGGCAAGCCGATTGTCACTGAACTTTAAAACTTTCATGTCATGCTGGGACTACGTCCTCTCCTAGAACCTCTGAAATGAAGGACAATCAAGGAGTGAACATGTCATTAAAGGCGGATTCAGAATTTAAACCTAATCGGTTTAACCTTGCACTGAACTCGTTGCACTGTTAAAATTATGGGTTCAGATCTAAACTTGTTGATATTTTAGGTTTTTAGTAGGTTTTTACATATATAATTATACTCCATGTCGAAAGTTTTGAATTGAGATGAACCCATAACCAAAAGGCTGCATTCGCCTCTGCATGTCATGCTGGTATATTTTTGTTGTATGTAATATTTGGAAAGTGAAGCTTTGGTAGTTTTATTACTCAAACTAGCAAAATTTATTTGGGTTGATATAACTCCTTTTCACAAGTTATCTACTTTTAAAGTATTTCTCCGAACGATCTGGAAGTTCCAATATGCATCACTTAGACAACCAGTTGCATGTGTAGTGTCATGGGCTGCTTTCCAGACACGCCCCATGACCCCTTGGCAGCGCCCCATGGCGGCCTAGCAAGCCTCACAATGCCTAGCGCCATGGTCGGCCCTGTGGTCTTG